AGAGCGTTTAATTGCTAATTTTCAAGCAGCCCTATGAACAAGGAAGCTGGAATGTACCCATGTCAGACAGTTCACATAATTTTTTAAAATTCTGAACTTAACATAAAGCAAGCATTTGCATATACAGAGTATAGCAGGTAATTAGGATTGTTCATGGTTCCTTGAAGGTAGGGACTGGTTTTGTCTTTGTATCCCTATCACTTAACACAATGTTTAGCACATAGTAAGTTGATGTGTGTTGACTGACTGACTACTTCTTCCTCCCCATATCCCTTCATCTTTATTCTACATTCCCACAAAGTATCCACAACATAGCACAGGGCTTTTACAAAATCATCACCATCACATAATATTACACTTAATAAAACAGATTATCCCCAGATTAACAATCCTGGATGAGAGTGACGTTCCATCACTGAGAACCACTTCCTTAAGAGCTGAACCCAGGGTGAGTCAAATATGTTGGGTAAATTGTCAATTCAACAATCACTTTGCTGATAATACCAAAAAAGGTTTCAATTCAAATGATCAGTTTACAAAATTAATTCTGTCACTCCAGCAATAACACCTCTCCCTTAAACTTCAACCCAATGATGCAGGAATATAGAATTTCAATAATGCTTTGACTCACAGAAATGTAGTGGTTATAATGAAATAATTGGTTTTATCAGCAGGAGTTTCAAAGCCTGGAAAAAAAAAATGAAAACAAAAAAAAATTGCCATGAGTCTTTGCATCACTGGAGTAAATGACTCCAGCTTTACACAACACTCAAAGCAGCCTTGCTTTTCAAAGAATCCAGAAAATCAAATAGTAATAATTTTGCAAAATCCTAGGATAAGCCTCCAAATATAGCACCCCCTTAATATTATCTGCAGGTGTCTAGCACCCTGTTTGTATCCAAATTCTGTTGTTCAATAGCCCCATTTTACCTTTGTTACAAACAATACTGGAGCAATACAAAAGAACCTTTACTAAAATAGAAATGCAAGATAAATAACAAGAAAATGACAATAGCCAGCAGTCTCAAACTACCTCCTCCCACCACACTCAGAGGCAACAGAATGACTGGCAGCAGTGGGTATAATATTTCTACCTGATCACTTCCCTGTACAACTCAATGCTTCTCGGAGCAGCAGCAGCAGCAGCAGCAGCAGAGGGAACCAGGTTTCTTGGTGCAGTAGCAACCAGATGATCCCTGAAATCCTGGGCAGAACTTAAAAATGCTTACTCCCACCCTCATCAAAGGTATCCACATGGCGTGCCAGAGCTCAATGCACACCTGCTATTTTCCTCTTCTCTCTCCTATTTTTCTGGTGTTTCTTCTTTTTTCTTCTGGTTCTTGCTTGAATTTTTTTGTCAATTTTTAAAAATTCTGAACTTAACATAAAGTAAACATTTCCATATACAGAGTATCGCAGGTAATTAGGATTGTACATGAAACCACAAATCTTTATTTCTTATAGTTTGCTCTTCCTTGTAAATATGTAATAAATTCAATGTTATTTTCAAAGCTATTCTGCTCACCTGTATTTATTTCTGAACTTCATTGTGTTTACTTCTGTGAATTTCTAAAATATGCAATGGCCCTCTTTTATTTTTTCTTCCTTTTTTTTTTTTTTAAATAATACTATTGCTAACCCTCATCTACCTCCCAAATCCTCCTGGTCCCTGATTGAAAAAAAAAAAAAAAAGGAAAAACAAAACCTTTGTAACAAATATTCAGAGTCAAACAAAACACAAATACACATCATTAGCCATGTCCAAAAATACATGTCTCATTTTACACCTTGAGACTATCACTTGAGTGTCAGGAAATGGGTAGCATGCTTCACCATCAGTCCTTTGGAATTGTGGTTGATCATTTTATTGATCAAATTTCTTTTTTTAAAATAATTTTTATTGATATATTTTGCTTTTACATGACTTATGGATTTTGCTTATGGATTGTTACGGCCAAAGAATTCATCTTCCAGTGGCCAGCCTACTGATGAAGAGACTCTCTGTGTCAAGTCAGATTCAGCTCAGTCTGTCATAGGATGAATGTGTTGCATTCAAACAATGGAGGTACCGTCCTGTATAAAGGAGGTAAGCTGTAGTGTAGGCTAACTTGAAAGGCTGGTAGTTAGTTGAATGAATAGTTGGGATCAAGAGAGGGTTTTTTTCAAGGGTAGATTGTTTGTAGGCAACAGGAAATGAGTCAGTGGAAAAGGTAAGGTTCAAAATGAGAGAGGGAAATGATCTTCCTAAAATCTCAGGTCTGACCATGTCACACCCTTAGTCAATAAATTCTAGTGGCTCCCTATCACTGCCACGATCAAATAGAACACCTTCTGTTTGGTGTTCAAAGCCCTTCATAACCTTTGCCCAGCCTCTCCAGTCTTCTTACACTTTACACCTTCCTCCCTTATACTCTTTGATTCAGTGACATTAGCCTCCTTTGCTCTGTTCCTCTGACAAGACACTTCATTTCCCAGTTCCAGGCATTTTCTCTGGTTGTCCCACATGCCTCTTGTCCTCTTCATCTCTGCCTCCTGGCCACCTTGGCTTCCTTCAAGTCCCAGATAAAATCCTACCTTCTACAGAAACTCTTTCCCAATAACCTTTAATTCTAGTGCCCTTCCTTTGTTGATTATTTCAAATTTATCCTGTTTATAGCTTAATCGTACATAATTGTTTGTAAGTTGTCTCTCTTATTAGACTGTGAACTCCTTTGAGAGCAGGGACGTTTACCTTTTTTTGGTACCCCTAGCACTTAGCACTTAAGGCAGCTAGGTGGCACAGGAAGATTTATCTTCACGAGTTCAAATGTGGCCTCAGACACTTACTAGCTGTGTGAGACCCTGGGCAAGTCACTAATCCTGTCTACCTCAGTTCCTCATCTGTAAAATGAGCTGGAGAAAGAAATGGCAAACTACTCCAGTATCTTTGTCAAGAAAACCCCAAATGGGGTCACGAGTTAGACCAACTGAGAAAGGACTCAGAAATAATAAACATAAAGCATTTAGCACAGTACCTGGCACATAATAAGTGCTTAATTAATGTTTATTGATTGATTGTATGAGGAGACAGGAAGGAATGAAGTCAGGTGTATAAGTAGAGGGATTGACCTTGATGTGGAGTGGGGCAGACTCTTTATTAGAAAATTAGAGAATGGAGAATGATGTCCATAGGATATGAAGATATAGGGGAGCAGAGGGACTCCAATTAACATCCTTTATTTTCTCAGTATCGCTGTTGGGAATGGATAGAGAATCAGTTAGAGAGGGGTAAAATGATTTCTTTGTAGTAGCAAGAGCCCAGTTGAGTTTGATAACATAAATCTGTAGTAGACCCAGGCAGCACAGGTTGGGTTGTGAAAGGGAAATGAGATGCCAGGACTGTTCAGCAGCAGTGAGGAGCAGAGAAAGCAGATCGTAAGGAGTTATTTGTTGCTAGGGCTTGGCAGGGCATGAGTGATCATAGGACCAAGGGTAAGGCATTCAATAATAGAGAATAATCATCTCAAATAGACCTGAAGAGCTGTTAGTAGTATCTCAGTTATCGGTCTCTTTATAACTTGTAGTGGCCAAATATTTAGATACATGTCTGAAACCTCAGTAACTCAGAGCTTCGCATATCTACAGGGATCAAACTGTAATTATTTGCTGTACAAGTTATTTATTTTACGTATGTGTTTTTCATTCGAGAGGCAGCATGGCACACATGGGACTTCCTCTGATTGAATGTAATATTTTCAAGGGCAAGGACTGTTTCATTTTTGTCTTTACGTTTTCAGCCCCTAGCACAATGCCTGGCACACAGTAGGATCTTCATAAAGGCTTATGGGTAGCAGGTAGGTAAGGAAAGATGAGATGGACCTTGGAGCCAAGAGCAAGGAAGTCAATGTCACTCAAACAGAGAACTTTGTATTTGATCATGGAGGTGATAAGGAGCTACTGGAGTTGATTGACTTGGTGGGGGGGGGGAAGGTAGGGGTATGTGTGACCTGGTCAGGATTTAGCAACATCACTTCTCCTCTCTCATATTGAACCTTATCTTACCTACTGGCTCATTGCCTACAATCCATCCTTGTAAAAAGCCCTCCTTTAATCCCAACTATTCACTTAACCAGCCCCAAAAGTTATCTTTCATCTCATCTCCCTTTCACAAAAAAGTTGCCTATCCAAGGCACCTAGATGGCACAATGAATAAAGCTCTGGTCTTGGAGTCGGGAGGACCTGAGTTTAAATCCGGCTTCAGACACTTGACACTTACTAGCTGTGTGACCCTGGGCAAGTCACTTAGCCCCAGTTGCCTCACCAAAAAACAAACAAAAAAGTTGCCTATATTACATTCGTTTCTTGACAGGTACTAGCTGTGTGACCGTGGGCAAGTCACTTATCTCAAGCAAGTGCCTCAAGTGACACAGTCAAAGACTATAAATTACAGACTGGTTGCTGATCTTTGCCAATGGAAGGAATGTTCTCATCAAGTCTTCCCTGCCCTGATAACAGCACAGATCCAGACAAAACCCAAACCATCTATTTCCATATTGCTTAAATGTTACCAATTGAATTCAACTTTTGGGGAGACGGAAGTGACCAAGCAGCATTGTCAATACTCTCCCCTGACCAATCTACACTTTTAAGAGGACATTTACTGGGAATCGATAACTTGAAAGTAATCACATCAGACCAAGTCAATCTCTTTTTTCCCCTGTTGACTTCCTTTTAAATGTTTGAACAGGGAAGAGAATTTCAATAAGCACAAAATACATCTATCAGCATCAAGAGCAGAAACATTCAGTGTCAGATTTCAAAGGCAGGTTGACGTTGAATTCTTCAAGTTACAAGCAATACCTCAGCTCTGGATAGGTGATGGTGATGGAGATTCTAATGTTTTAGTTTCATTACTGGTGAAGAAAATGCATGCATAGGCCATCCTTTTCCTTTCCAAATTTACCCCTAAATCTTAACACCTTGGCCTCATGTTGCCTTTGCTTTCCTGTTTTCTCTGGAAGCTTAAGAGGAAACTCCATTGGAGTGGCTGGAGCGAAGGCCATGGCTAATGCCCTGAAGACAAACCCCAGTCTCCGGATGCTCAAGTGAGTAGTTTTTGATAATTGGAAGGAAAAAAGGCAAGGTTTAGCAGGACTTTAAGACCCTTAAGTGGCTGCTGTGGATTTCCCCTATAGTGGCTTCTTTCTGAATAATTCAGACCTTATATAAAGTGGAAGGCATCTAAGTGGCACAGTGGATAGAGTGCTGGGCCTAGAGTCAGAAAGACTCATCTTTGTGAGTTCAAATCTGGCCTCAGACATTTACTGGTTGTGTGACCCTGGATAAGTCACTTAACACTGTTTGTCTCTGTTTCTTCTTCTGTAAAATGAGCTGAAAAAGGAAATGGCAAACTGCTCCAGTATCTCTGCCAAGACAACCCCCCAAAAGGGGTCATAAGGAATCAGACATGACTGAAATGATTAAACAACAACAACATAAAGTCTCAGCTCTGAAAATACCTACCTGTGTGTGATCTTGGGCAAATCATTTTAACTTCTTTGGGCCTCAGTTTTCTTATATGTAGAATGAGAGGCTTGGACTAAACCATCTCCAAGGTCCCTTCTACCCCTAACAACCTATGTTTATAAGGCAGGGTCCTTCTGGCCATTTTCATATAGTACACCTTAATATTAAGTGTCAAAGGCGACTGGACTGTTGCCATAGTAGAGAAATCATAGCAGTGGTAGCTGCTGCCGCTCTATGACGTTGCCTGGAGACTTTACCCAAAACCTCAGGGGACAAATCAAACCCTGAATTACATGTTACCTTTCCAGTCATATGCTTCCTTGGTGTTCTCTTGGCCTACAACGGTCGCTGCAGGGTTTTTCTCCCCCCCCCCCATCTTTTCCCTAGTCTTCAAGAGAACTCCCTGGGCATGGATGGAGCCATCTGCATCGCCACCGCACTGTCCAGCAACCACGGACTCCAGCACGTCAAGTGAGTGAGGGTTGAAAAAAAAAGTAGAAGCTTAGTTCAGGGACACCATTCTCCCCTTGTCCTTTTACAGCAGCCTTCCAAATAGGACACTTGTCCATGTCAAGTCAGTTGAAAGAATAAAACAGGCTATCTCTGAGACCTTATTAGGTGAGGCATTTATTAAGAGTTTACTGTGTGGCTCTGTGCATTCTGGAATGACAAAATATAGAATCAAAAAGATCTTTACGAGATAGAAGGATTTTTACCAACAAACTGAAATTAAATAGAGGTAAAAGCAAAGCACTACGTTTAGGCATGCACAAAATTAAATCACATGAATATGAGAAAGGAATGTGAAAAAAAGCCAATTTTAGTGGATTGAAAGCTCGGTATGTCAGTAGTGTGGTGTAGTTGCTAAAATATCAACAACAAAAACTCAATGCAAGTAAAAAAAGAAAAAAAAGAAAGAAAATTAACTTAGTCATAGTCTTCATTAATTAGAGGTATAGAAGTTAATAATAATTTACCATAAGCTGTACTAATGAGACCACATCTGGAGAAGTGCATTCAGTTCAGTTCTAGATACTGCATTTTAAGAGGATCACTGGCAAAGGAAAGGGCATCCCAGAAGATGGTGAAAAAGCTAGTGAAGGATCTGGCAATCATGTCCTATAAGGGTCAGTTGATGTTAGGGATGTTTAGCTTGGGGAAGAAAGCAGAGGGGTGGGGGTTGCAGATTATTATCTTCAGATATCTGTCATGTGAAAGAGGGAGTAGACTTATCTTTTGTGGCTTCAGCGGGCAGAACTAATAGCAATGATCCAGTGATACAGCGGAATAGATTTGGACTCAATCGAAGGAACTTTACAGCAGTGTCTAGATCACCTGTCTAAGGACGCTGTAAGACAGGGGCTCTTAATCTAGGTGCTATGGATAGATTTGGGGGGTCCATTAACTTAGATAGGAAAAGTTACATCTATTTTTGCTAACCTCTTCACTTCAGCATTTCATTGAAGTAGACTGCCAAAGGGGTCCTGACACAAGGAAGGTTAGCAATCTCTAGGCTAAGGGATTCTTGAACTTAGTGGGAGGTTGAGTTTGATGACCTATAAAGTTACCTTCAAGTCTAGGTTTGTATGATACTGCTTCTTCTGGACAGTGTGGGCCCTAGACAACTGACTATTTGTAAACCTTTACTAAAGGATTTGGATCTCAAAGTTTGAACAAGGGTAGGGTTGACAGAATGGTTAAGTGGAATAGGCTTGCCTTGACCTGCCCTTGTAAGCTAGCAGCTGTCCACTCCTGCCATTCTCCTGAAACAGCTAAGAACCAAGGACATGGAAGACCTATTTAGTGCCAAATTCAGTGGCCTCTTTGTCCTCATCCTCCATGAATTGTGCAGCATTTGATGCTGTGAACCCCCCCTTCCTTCTAGATAAACGGCCCTTTCCTGGCTTCTGGGCCACTGCACTCTCATGGTTTTCTTACACTGTTCCTCTATGTCTTTTGTTGGCTCCTTATCCTCTTCCCATCCCTTCAATGTGTATGCTCCCCGAGGTTCTGTCCTTAACCCTTTTCTTCTCAATGCTTTTTCTGAATGACTGCATTAACCCTCATGGCTTTGCTGCTCATTTCTGTCCAAACTCCCAAATCTAATGCTGTGACTCCAAACCTGCACTTTCAACTGCCTATGGGATGTTTTCAGCAACATCTCACACTCAACATGTCCCAAACTTTATCTTTTCCCTGAATCCTACCCCTTCCCTTTTTTTCTGTTGACAGCACCATCATCTTGCAATTCCTGCCACCTTTCATCAGGTTCCAAGGCCTGTTGAGTATTTTCAAGGGTGGGTATGGTATTATCTGTTATCTCCTTCAATCTAGCAGAGTATGCTGCCCATTTATCAACTGATAATGAGAAGTCTGTTAACATGAGGTTCCACTACTTGGCCAGTTTTCAAGTCCTATCCAAATATACCCTTTCTTTCAGTCTCCAGGGAAACCACATTGGAGAATCAGGTGCCAGGATGATCTCAGAAACCATCAAGACAAATGCCCCAGATTGTATTGTTGAAATGTGAGCCATAATCTCTGGTGGAACTTTCTGGTGGAGTGAGCAGAACAGGGAAGAAACCAAGCAGGAAGTCTGAATGCTAAGAGACTATTAAAACAAGTGATGGCCTGAAGGTCAGTGGCATGGTCGTTCTAGCAGGAAGGAGCTTATTGATCCTCTGGAAGGAGTTTCAAAGAGAGGTCATCATCTACCTCCAGAACTGAGCATCAGTACAGGAACAGCAATGATTGATAAATTCTTCTATGGATGGATTCCAGGATACAGACCTTGTGATTAAGGGTTCAACTGCTGCAACGACTGAGGAAGGTGGTTGGCCATGGGTAAATAGCTGGTTATAAGGCCATTAAAAGTATCAACCTGACATGTGTAACAGAGGAAACGTTCCTTGATTCTTCCAAGCAACACACATGTCGCTAAGAAGTCACAATTCTTCAAGAACCATGGAAAAACTGGGGAGGGGTGTGTTTTGAGATGGTTTAAGTTGTGGGGCTCTGGAGATGGAAAAGCTAAAATGGCATTTTCATTTCTCCAAGTTTTCCACCACACCAGCACTAAGCAAATTATTTGTCAATGACAAACACAGGGGTCCTAGCATACTAGACTACAAACTCAGTATGTCAGCAGTGTGATATGGCAACAGGAAAAAAAAAAAAGCTTATTAGCAGAACAAAGGTGGTAGTAATCCTGATGTGTTATGGGCCAGATAATATCTGGAGTATTCAACCAAGTTCTTGGTGCCACATTTTATAAGGTACGTGGATCATTTAAAACATGTGCAGAGCAGCGCAATCGGGATGGTGAAGGTAAAAAAAAATAGCTCTCTGGTCTTTTTTTAGGTCCAGATCTGTGATTTCATCTTAGTGTGGAAACTCCTTCTACCAATGCAAATCTACAACTAACTCATTTGTGACTTCAAGCCTTAGAGAGAACCCTTCTGGAAGTCTTTCAGACGAACTTCTTTCAGTGGCCAAAGGGTCTTCACCTTAGATAATGGGCTAGGCTTGTTGGTTTGGAGAAATACTGCCTCTAGTTTTGCTTTTTTGCTGCCAGAGCTCCGCAGCTAAACCACTGATTGCTTTGTCACTAAACCCTCTCTCACTCCTCCTATTAAAATGCCGTACTGAGAGCAGGTAAAAGGAAAAGGGATGTTTTGCTCAGAGAAGATTTGGAGAGCGGGGAGATATGCGTGCTGTCTTTATCCCAAAGTAGACGGATTCCATTTGTTTTTGCTTGGCTCTGAAGGATAGAACCTAGCACCAATGAATGAAAGCATATAGGAAAAACTTTAGCACAGCAAAGATACTTCCCCAGAAATGAAGCTGTCTAAAAATGGAATGGGCTCCCTTAGGGGGTGGTGCACTGTCTGTAATTGGAGAGCTTTAAGAACAGGAGAAAACTAATGCTCCAGGTAGGGACTGGACTAAATAATCCCTTGATCTAACACACTATGGGAATTGATGATGTGTTAAAACATAATGATATAATGAAAATCTGTTGGGCCTCAGTAGACCACAAATGCCACTAGGAAACCTCTCTTCCAAAGGCAGTGGGTCTATCAAAAAACATTAATTCCCACAAATGGTGGTGCTGCTGGAAAAAAAAAAAACATCAGATAAGACACCACAGATCTTATCAATCAAATCAATGAGAATGACAGTGTATGAAGACTATAAAATGATACTCATTTTTAGTTTGAACAGTAAATCATTAGGGCTGTAAAATTCCTTATAGGTAAGTACAAAAAATGTGCCAGCCTGCTTACACTTCCCTAACTGCCTCTCTCTCTGAAAAGACACTGGTATTACAAGCAACAAGGTTCTTTTTACAATGAGGTTGGCAGAAAATGTTACTTAGGCTTTCAAAGTTTATCATAATTTAGTTTAAGACATCATGCTATATAATGTCAAACCTTGCCTGGAAACCCTAATATTCAGCCATCTCTTCTTTTCTCCACATGGCATTCTTTTAAAAATTATTTTATTGATACATTTTGTTTTGCCATAACAATTCCAAAAAACAATTATAACCATGTAACCTTAAAAATGGTTAAGCAAAACTGTCTAACACAGCTTTTGGGACTGACAGCACAAGTAACATTTTGTTTCTATAATTCACCATTAACAAAAAGAAGAAAGTGTATTCCAACATCAGGCATCTGGAATTAAGATTGGTTATGTTTCATGTGAATCCTTCATAGTCCTCTTTCCTTACGGTACAAAAATATTTTATTACAATCATATACCACGGTTTGTTTATCCATTCCCCAACTGATGGGTGTGTAATTTATTTCTAGCTTTTTGCTACTATAAAGAATGCTATGAGTATTTTTGGTACCAATGAGATCTTTCAACGACTTCCAGGAATAAACTGAATATAAATCCAGTAATGGGATTGCTGGGCCAAAGGGGTATGGGTAGTTAAGTAACTTTTTCTTGCATAATTCTAAAGTTTTCCCAGAAGGGTTGAATTCACAGCTGCACTAATTGTTATTAGTGTGTCTTTCTTCCTACAGCCTGATAATAAATTGATTATTTTCATTTGCTACCATCTTTGGCAGTCTGATGGTTGGGAGGAGATACTTCAGTTGATGCTATACATAAGATTATATTTTATTATTCTCTTTTATCAATTCCTTTCCTTTCTTTCAAGGCTTCTCTGGACCATTAAGTTATTCTCCAGAGAAATGTTTTAAGGAACTGCTCCTAAATACAGAAACTAATCTTTGATAATCAGCTGGCCCTGGAGAAATAAACCAATGCCTTCACTTCATTAGAATAAGAGTTCTTAAGTTTGCAAAAAAGACATGATAAAAAATAAACTAGTGCTTATGTGGTAATTTAAAAATAAAATCTTTTCTTTTCCTGAGCAATTGGTATAAACACAATAAATTATTCTGTATGATACTTGCAAATGTGAATCATCTAGGTAGAATGATTTTTATAAGAAATTATATGCAGTATAGCAATGCAGACCAACAGCCTGAGAAGGAAAAAAGTTAGTCTGGGTATACTCTCAGTCCCAGCACACTGGGTCCCTAAAGGCACTAGCATGTTCCCTGCTAAGGAATTCATTCACATCCCAATGCTCCCATCGGTGTAACTCATGTGTCATTCTTCATCGACAAAGATGTCAATGCTGACTTACCATCGCTCAAGACAGTTGTTTTTGAGTTGTTTTTCCTATAGTAGAGTTGTGGCAAACATCACCCAATTGTTGATTGACTGGAGTGAATTCAATTCAGCAAGTATCTAATTGGCATCAATTACGTGCAAGATACTGTACCAGGCAAAAATGATAATAGCCCTGCCCTCAAGCAGTTTATTATGTTCTACTGGAATGTACTGTAGCTATGAACAAAGCAAAACGAATTGGCCCAACAAGAATAACATTCACAATACTGGTCTCGTGAGCTTCATGTCCTAACTATACTTGTATGTCTGATAGGTTTGTTATGAAGAATAACACACTATTATTATTGAAAAGTGCTCAGTGTTTCTCTCATGGGAGGGTATTACTCAGGTAGGTAAACAGTATTACTACGGGTTTCACAGTTACAGCTAAGGATTTTTAATATTGGTGTCAGCCTATGGATTTATCTTAATGGATGTCTTGTTAAAGACTTTTTTATGCTCCTTGAAAAAAAAAAGCTCCATATAGAATTTGGGTGATGACGTTTTTTGTTTTTGTTTTTTTGTCATTATTATTTTCAGTATATAACCACCTTTTAAAGTCAGGCCAGATTCTTGCAGGTAAATAAGCTATATTCTAGCTTTAGCACTTTAGAAAAAATGTAGATGTAAAAAATGTAAAAACTCCTTGGAACCAATTAAATTCCATGAAAGAAAAAAATATGACTTCTGAAGTGTCTAACAAACTCTGGCTTATAGCATACCATGTCAACTATGTCTATTCGGTACAACTTTTTCAAGTCGTAGAGAGATGGTATTTAGGGAAAAGGCGTGGAAAACATACTGGATTGGAAATCAAACCACCTGGCTTCTCAAATCTCAGCCCTACCATTAACTCAATGTGTCACCTTGGGCAAGTCTCTATCCCTTTCTATGCTTGTTTTCTAATTTGCAATAGGAGAGGATTAGACCAAATAATCTTTCAGTTGCATATATTTTGATCCAATGAGTTGAAGTTGTCACATAGGCTCCTAAAACTTTTAGATTTCCCATGTTAATCAGGAATAAACATGGAAATCTCCTTGTATAACAATGTGTATTTGGTAACAGTGTTGTCATCATCCCTACTCTACAGATGAGGAAACTGAAACTCAGAGATGTCAAGCAATTTGCCCATGGTTCCATGACTAATAAGTGGTGAAGGTGGGTGCGCTTTTGGAAGTGGGGTGCAGAATCGAGGCCAAGTGGTTTTGGTGGCCAAAAAGAAAAATCATTGAATTGACTACTTAAGTGCTCCTTACTATGTGTATTTTACATCAAAGCTTTCTCCTCCCAGAAAGAGGCAGTCGCCAGAGTGGAAGAGAGAGTGCTAAGACAAGAGTCAAGAGACCTGGCCTTTCGATCCTGGTTTCTGTCTCATTAGTTTAGGCCCTGAGACCTCAGTTTTCCTCATCTGTGAAATGAGGTTGGACAAGATGATGTCTAAGGTCTCTTCCACCTCAAATTCTTTTAAAAAAGATTATTTTAACAAATGCTTAACACTGAATGTCAATACAAACAACTAAATTTGCTTAGTAACAATTTACATTTAAAATCAATTAATTTGGACATATGAAGTATCATAATTTTTCAATCATTCCCATTAAGTCTTACATAGGATTCTTTGTTGGTCCATTCATTCTTATTTGCTCTTTAGCTCTTATATGGTTGTGGTTAATGTGTACTTCATTTTTCTAGTTGTGCTTCTTTTTTTAGCTTTGTATTATTTTAAAGGTCTATTTGGATTTATTTTCTTCCTCAGATTAGTCTTAATTGCTTTGTAGTATTCCATTCCATTTACGTATCATAATATATTTAAGCACCCTACCTCTGGTCAGACATTTAGATTGTTTCCAGTTTTTTGAGATAACATATACTACTACAAAAATCTTTGAACAGACAACTTTTTTTGCTTCTGATAACTTTCAGAGGTTATTATCAACAATGGGATGAATGGGTCAAAGAGCATGATTGTTTTGTAACTTTACTGCATGCTGCTAGGTTGCTCTCTAAAAAGATTCTCTAAGTTTTGCAGGTTTACAATTCCATTGTTGATGTTTTAGATTTACTGATGGGTAATCTCATGGTCTCAGGGAAATGAAAAATCTAGGTCAATAAGATTAACAAATTTAGTACAGATAACTGAAAAAGAAGAGAGATCTGATGAAAAGGTGGTCCTGGTTACCTTGGGAACATGATCTTTTTCAGAAATAAGTGAGCTGAAAAGGAAGTGAAAAAAACTGAAACAGAATTGCAGCCTAATATAAAGGCTTTCAGGTGTCTTTCTCACCTACAAGGACGTTCTACAAGGACGGAAACTAATCTATTAAAGTATATGTAGTATAGCAGAAAGAGCCCTGAATTGGATGGAATTCAAGAAACCACCGTATTCTACTCAAGAGCTACAGAGCCATACACGTGTCACAGCCTTTCTTCATCTTAATGTCATTTTTTTTATAAAATGTTAGTTGTATTAGATGAATTCAAAGGTCCCCTCCAGCTCAACATTCTATGACTCTGTGACTGAAATGTTAAAAAAAAATGTTTATTCAAGAAAATTCAGAAGTTGGTACAGAGAGCACGCAAGGAGTTTTAAAATTAAAAGTTAGACTCTTAAAAATCAGTATGTTGCCACAGTATTCCAAAACCATGTGAGAGCAGCATACACTGGGGGAAACTGTTCCTGGGGTGGTTCCTAAGATTTGACTTGTAACACAATGGTTTTAGTTAGTTATGTTTCTCTTTTCTCTGTGGTTCTGTGGACCTTTTTGTACCTCTTCTATGATAGGAAATAATCAAGTAATCCTGTTTTCCAAAAATAGTAGGTAAATATATTCAAAAAATATGTGTGGTAGTAGTTTTGGTTCCTGTTTAAATCTCATGAAATCTAAGCAAAGGAGGATCCAGCTTGAATGTCTTCAATAATGAACAGCTAATTTAGTTAAAATAATGCATCTTACTTCCCCAAACTTCACTGAGGCCAGAAGGAGTAAGCTAGAAGTCATTGTCACTCTCATCCAGTGGCTCAGGTTTGCGAGCCCTACGATTTGGCTTAGTGGGGGAGAGAGCCATACTTTCATCTTCCAAATCATCATCATCTTCTTCATCATCTTCCATATCAATTTCACTGTCCTCTGAATCTTCCTGCAATAAAAGAGATGACAGATGTAACTTGACACCTTCTACTTCTTAGCTAGTTAGGAAGTTAAAAGCCAACAACCATTTTCCTAACAGTTCAGAAAAAAAAGCACTACATGGCATAGGAGAAAAGTAGTCAGGTCCAGACACAGATGAAAGTCTCTACATTAATAATACTGCTTTCAGTCATCAATTTCCAGACCAATAAAACCCAGTACAAATCAGATTTAGTATTGTTATATATAATGCCATGGCTTTCAGTCAATTACCCCTGGAAGTTGCTTCTTGGGACCCAGAAAAATATCACTTGGAAGTTATTTTGTCTCTCTGAGGTCTCAGTTTCCTCATCAATAATTTTGAGGAAAAAATCCACACTCTTTTTCAAAGCACTATAAACACTGTAAACTGTAAAGTACAGTAGAAATGAGAGTATGTTTTATTATCAGTAGATGAAAGAAGATTCGGAATGGAACTGAGGGCATATTTATTTTCATTCCTGTTAGACACAGGGAAGAGAAGAGAATGTGGAAAGTAGGTATGAGGAGCAAAGTGGAGAGAGGAGCCCTTCCCCTTCTGGTCTATGGCGAGGATGGCAGTCTTTTGAAGGGATGTATAGGTTGGGCTTATTTTGGGTATATGTACATGTGCTACATGTAAAATTCTTTGCAAACCTTAAAGCAATGCACAAATGTTAGCTATTATTATTATCATTACTATTACTGAATGAACAGAAGACAGGAGAATGTATGGAATAACAGTATACACTACACCTATTCTGGACAGCCTAGGCCTACATGAATTTATAATGTAATTAGCTATACAGGAAGGCAAAAAAGGCTACTTAGTAGCCCCAAACCACCAACAACTCTTTTTCCAGAGTGCTATTTCTATTAGTGGAATCTCATCTTCTTAGTCTTTAAACGAGATAATGTATGTAGAGTGCTTTGCAGCCTCAAAAGTGCTAAATAATTTTTAGCTATTCTTTTATCTATTCTGTTATTCCAAGCCTAAAACTGTGAAGCCATCCTCTACTCCTCATCTAGCTGCACCTCAAATTAATCAGGCGCCAAGTCAATCTTTCCACTCTCATGTCCCTCATCCATCCCTTCTTTTTCATGCTTACTGCTAATTTCCTAATTTATCACCTCACCTTTGGACTTACTAAAATTGTCAAATTTCTAATTGATCTTCCTACTTTCATCCCACAAAACACTGTCAAATAAATCTTGGGGCCTAAACGCTGCTTTGCACATGTCAATCCTTTGCTCAAAAACTTTCCATACTGACCTACTACCTCTCAGTCCAAATTTAGCCTAGCATTCAAGGTTCCTCAGGATCTGGCTCCAATTTATCTTCCCTGTGTCACCTTCGACTCCAGCCAAAGCACTTAGGCCATTACTTCCAGATCATGCACATTTCTATCTCTACATCTCTGCTGGTGTGATTTCCCACAGAGAATGCCTTTTGCTCCTCTCTTTTTAAGGGCCAGCGTAAGTCCTCCTGGTTCTTTTCTCCCTTCTCCCCTTCTCTCTAACATCATTTTTCATTTACTGTTATAAATCATGTTTCTTTGAGGGCAGTGACCATGTTTCTGCCTTCTTTTAATAGTTTTCAGCACTTAGCATAGTGCCTGTACCATTCATCAAATGCTTAACAAATAGGTTATATCATTTATTACACAAGTAAGTCACTTAACTCTGGGCCTCTGTTTCTTCATTTGTAAAATAAGGGGACTGGAACACATGACTTCTAAGGTCCTTCTGTCTACAAATTTATAATACTAGGACCTGTATCAATGTTAATCTTTTTCATTACAATGAGACCGTAAGTTTCTTGAGGACAAAGAACCATGTCTTATACTTTATTTTAGTTTTAGTATATAGTATTCAGTATAGTTCCTCACTTAAAGTAAGAACTCAATAAATGTTGCATGAAGAGGATTAACTTGTGTCACACTGGACCACCAAGGACTGGGGGAATGTTGAGAAGTATTGCTTTCAGCTCTAATGGAAAACAACTGGCTCTAATGACGTGGGAATTAGGAGAGGTATTTCAGTGAGTGACTTGGTGCTTGGAAGAGATGAGCTAGTTCTTCTCTTCGGGGGTAGTTTCTCCTCTATATGTACCCAAAGCACTTGGTTTATGTCCTTCCTATAGAGACAGGGATTGGACCTGGGATTTCATTGATAGAGGGAGCTCTACCAATGCTACTTAACCGTCCTAGAGTTTCTTAGAGCATTGAGAGATTAAGTGACTTTCCCAGGGTCACAGAGTCAGTAAGTATCAGAGGAGGGGCTTGAACCCAGGCCTTCTTGGCTTGAAGGCCAGCTTTCTATCTCTTATGCCAGAGATGTCAAACACACAGGTC